TAGATGTATGTATGTTTGTTACTCTTTTATGTAAAAACTACTGAATGGATTTTATATAGACTTAAGAGGATTGTGAAGCTGTAAATTTTCATACAAAAAGCGATAACGTTTTTCCCCCCTTAAACATAGTCTAATTTTCATAATTTTTGGAAATGTTGTAGATATGATCAAAATCTAGGTCCGTACGTTTTTATTTTTTAGAAATATTGCGTAAGATAGAAGTTATTAGCATCTAAATATCTATATTTTTGGCCTAAAAACTTCCTCCAGCGTTTTTATTTTTTTAAATTAAACTAAACTGAATTACAAAAAAAGGAAAACGTACAGACCTAGATTAAGGTGTACTGAATCTAATGAGACCAAAATCGTCTCATTTCGTTAATGTTTAGGGGGGTGAAAACGTTATCGCCCGAAACAATATTTCAAAAAGGAAATGTAGGTAATTGAGTCTAAGACTTGCAACTCTCTCTATCGCACCATTCGGGTCGGGGGCAGGGGCATATTGTAGACTGTAGTGATGTTGAAGGTGCTATCGATATTATTATCTCCTAGGGAGGAGAACGTAATATCGATATATCGATCGATACTGAAAGGATTCAATCCAAAGTTTAGAATTTTATTATTCTCGTATGTATAGATTGTAACTAAGCCGTATATTGTACCTGTACATTAAATATTTTTTGGAAAATATTATTGGAATAAACATTATTATCGATACAGAGGCCGAATCTATAGTTTTTTGAATTTTTGTCTGTCTGTCTGTATGTCTGTCTGTCTGTTACCACGTCACAGAAAAACCACTGGAGAGATTTTGATGAAATTTGGTGTGGTGGTAGCTGGTGGTGGTATCCGGATCAACATATAGGATTACCGCGGGAAAATATCTCATTTCTGAGAAAAAATACAAAACTGCAATGTACGAATATACTAATATGTAAAACCTACGAATTTGTTTTTGGTCATATGAACGCGGGCGGAGCCGCGGGCAATGCTAGCTAAACATAAAAAGTTTCAATTGCATAGCTCTTTTACATTAGATTTTATTGATATCTAAAAAACTCCGATTTCGTCACTGACTCACTGATGATCATCAAAACTCTTAGGGTACTTCCTGAAGTCCTAGAAAGCTAAAATTTGGTATGTAAGCTAGTATTATAGTCCAATCGGAAACTGACAACAATATATTGAAAACCTGAAGTTTTATAATTTTCAAATGTTAGCAGGTATATAAGGATTAGAAATTCGTAAAATGCCCCATCTGTCCAGCTACACTCGAGAAATGGGAGGACGCAAAGCGTTGAAAAATAGTTTTTTTCAATTTCCGGCTCACTGTGACGTTCTATCGAAAAATATTTTCTACAAATGTAAAAGGTCTAGTAAAAATCTACAACTTTTATAAATAACACTTTCTACGATAACCTCAAAGTTTTCGAGATATTTGTTTGTATAAGTTTAAATGAGTAAGGGTCTTCCTACACCCCTCCACCCCTCGCCCTCCACCGGTCACGCGCTTTCTTTTGCTAATTGCTGGACTACTACCGTTTAGAAGGAGCAATAAAAATACTTTTATTTTTGTAAAATTTATATTTTTAATTTTATATTCGTTATAATTTATAATATTCGTTATAATTTTAAAAAAATATTACGAATAGCATATGTATATTTATAAATATACACATACTATTCGTTATATTTTTTTCGAATTTATCGATATTTTATTAGTTTTTGCAGTTAATTTTATTGATTTTTCTGAAAAAAAAATGATTTTAGGACAATTACAAAAAGAAATGAAATTCATTCGTAATCTAATCGTGTTTATTCATTAGTTAAAAATATATTTTAAAAAATTAAGTTGATATATTTTATAAAATTTAGTCATAGATTTGTTAAAAAATCGTAAATCATCATCATTCATGATCAGGTCATTTTATGAATTTCTATTCCTTATATACCTGCTAACATTTTAAAATCATAAAACTTCAGGTTTGCAATAAATAAATTATTTTAAAAATAAAAGGATTCCGATGGGTCTATTAGTACATAAACAACAAAAAAATCTAAAACTTTCAACTTTTGGAACGAGCTTTTTGTAATTGATCTAAATCACCTATTTATTTTTCTATGATTTTTTGAAGTCATCAATCTAAACAAGTCAAATTTTAAATGATATTCGCCACAAAATTGTAATTTAGAGTTATTTCAGTTTATGAATAAAGGTGCGATGTAACTTGTAGGGAATGTATATTGTACGCAAACCGTAGATATTAGATAAACTTTGAAATTGCTCTTGCGCCGAGTCGCACCGGCCCCGCCCCGGCCCCCCGCGAGCGCCCGCGCGTCACCGGCTGCTGCTATCATAGTGTGCGTGAGAATTGGCGTATGTTGTATTTGTGTTGTTCACTGCCGGGGGGATGCAAATTGGTATGAAACAGATAGCATTTTTTAAAATACCTACTCTCGCCGCGTATCGGCACTTCACAATCCTCTTAACAATAATATAGAATGAAGAAAGAATAGCGCAGGCTATTCTTTATCTCCCCCCCCCCCCCCAACGTGCGTTCACCTTGTCGTGGTGGGGGGGCTCAGTAGTGCCCGGCATCCAACCGGGCGCGAAGCTAAGAAACGCACAGGGAGGTTGCCCACTTCGGTGGGCGGTGAGAGGTGGCCCTCTTTGGGGGGCGGTGTACCATGCGGGTTGCTCCTGGTACTTCTCTGATAGCAGAGTGGACTGTGGAGCAACCCCATGGTTGTGGTGGTCTGCTTCGGCAGACCTGCCGTCGGGGCGTCGTAGTTGAATGCGTAAGCGATCCTGCGACGCCCCATTAAGACGGGGGAAGGTTTTGTTGGGTTTTAGTGGGTAGTACTGGCTGTATTACGCCGGTGAGTCCCACACGTCGTGCGTAAATGCTTTTCCCAACGTTAAAAAAAAGGCTATTCTTTATCTCGAAAAAATGTACGGTTCCCGTGGAATCGATTTGTTTTTGTTTTTCTAATAAGTATAGGGGTAAGTATAAGTTCGCTAGTCTATACAATATACATATAACGAAACAATAACTTAGTGAAATCGATGTGCGCGTTTCACGTACTGAACCCATTTTAATTAACTTTTGTGTAGTGATAACTTATTACTCGGGTCGACATTTAGAAGTCCCTTTACTACAGGAAAAATCTTCATTCCCACGGGAAAACACAATAACTGGTTTAATTGAGTCGTTCTTAGAAATATACGCGTCTAATGCTGGCTAAACCTTAAGAGATACATCAAAACAATCTACTAGAGAAATCTGCTATAGAATAAGTCTTTCTCCTAAGGTACACTCGCAATAACTATTCATATCTAATCAAAATATACCCACAGACGCATCCGAGCGAAGCGAGGGTAAATCACTAGTATTAAATATATTTGAAAGTATCGGCTTAGAAACTATCACTTCGTAGGTACCCATACACATTCAACTGATTCACAATATAAACTCATATACTTTTAGATTTTTGGTTATTATGAAGTCTTCATAATATTTTTGATAGTTATGATGATGTTCTCCTAGCCGATTCTGGCTACGGCGGCCAATCTCATTGAGATTAGCCAACTGCGCAGGAGATATTATAGTGCTCAAGTGTACGCACAGACACAAGTGCACTCTCTATTCCTATCACTCTCATACTCCGGTGGGACGACCACTCGACACGACCGGTGAGAGTTAAGGCGCAGGACCGATGGCTTTACGTGCTCTCCGAGGCACGGGGGTGAAACACCGCCAACTTCCCAACTCCGGGCTGTTACTGAGACTTTCTATACAGAAAGACTCAATAACTAAACTTGGCCCGACCCGGGACTCGAACCCATGATCTCCGGGTGTGTAGCCGTACATGCTAGCCACTACACCACCGAGGCAGTTAGTACAGTTGAAATAAGCAAGCAAAACTCACACGAAACTACAGGCCACAGCTAGTATAAAGGAAAATATAAAATAATATATAATTTACCTACATAACAAAATTTCCATCTTTTTAATATAAAAGCCAATTACAGTTTGCTACATATTATTTAAATAAATTACCTGAAAGCCTTAAAACAGGTAATTAAAGAAAAAAAAAAACACAAGTGACTATGCTTTATATGGAGTCTTACAATTAAAAACCTTAATGAATTTTCATTGAAATCTTCCATTAGCTCTGTTTTATTTCAGACGACTTCTTATTGAATATTCTGGCCGAGTTGTAGTCCTTTAGGCCTGGTCACGAATCAGTTTGCATATTTTTACCACGAATTGAAGCAAATTACGAGAATCTCTTAGTTGAATGAATTTTTAATTCAATCATTTAATTTGGTTTCAGAATTAAAATAATCTATAATATCTTAAAATTTCAAAGTATTAATATCTTTTCTACGAGTATATTAGTTACAAAAGTTATCATGATATTTCTTTTTTATCCGACTGAGCCGAAGCCTTTGAGTTTTTTATTTTATGAAGTGTTCTGTACCAAAAATATCAAGATCCATCCATCTGACTGTATGCTCTAACAATTTTTTTTAACAAGTCCAAATTAAAATTTGACTTAAAAATCGTATGACATTCTTAAAATTGTGATAATAATTATAATATACATATTTTTATGTACTATACATTTTATAATATACATAATATATTATTCATGTTGTAAATAATTAATTTATATTATGAAACAATCTTAGGATTATGCTACAATTTTAATTAAAAATGACCTGCGGAGAATTAAGTTTTACGGAACAGTATAATCTTTGCGAAATGAAAATTAAAATTGATTCAGTGAAATGGAAGCTTGAAATAAATTATATTATATTTTTAATGAAACTTTTGATAACTGTATTTTGTAAATTTATATATAAGACAGTATTCTTACATTAAATATCACAACATTGCCATTTTAGAAGAAATAACTAACAAAATTTTGTTACCTCAAATATGTTTGCAATTTTGTGTGCTAAAATCTTTTTCTCTTTGTTACAGGTAGAAGGTATGCGGGCTCAAAAGATACCCGCTGCCTTGCTACTGTTGCTATTCGCAATAGACTCCTTACATGCCAACAGGAGGAAACAAAAGGAGAAAATCGTTCAAACCACCACAAATATCTGCGATATAAACGACCGAGACTCCAAAGTACATTGCTATTGCGAAAACAGCCAGGAAATAAACGAGGCAATTAAAACAGAATGCTGGGTATTCAACGGCGGTATAGAAAAGACGGATCCTTTATGGTCCAGCTTTACTTCGCAGTCAAATATAGAAACGTTAGCATTTAACGTCCGGGCCGACGGAGGACTGAGCTTCGTGCCAACCAAAGTCCTTAGATATTTGCGAAAGCTAAAGCATTTCAGTGTAAAATATAGTTCGATATTAAAAATCGAGAGCCAAACTTTCGTTAATTTAACGTCAGTACAAGAAATGACACTGACCAAAAATCAAATAGCCGTATTAAGTAAGCACGCATTTTACAACTTGCCTAATCTTACCATTCTGACGTTAGATGAGAATCAGCTGAAGAAGCTTGAAAGTGATACTTTTTACGAATTGCCAACATTACAAAAATTATTCCTTACTAGTAACAATATAAGTGTAATAGAGGATGGTGCATTCCGCCATCTTATTAACTTACTAGAATTAGAATTGGATAGAAATAATATTAGTGATTTAAAAAAGGAGTGCTTTGATGGGCTCGCCAATTTGAAACGATTAGACTTAAGGAGAAACAAAATATCTGTATTAAATTCATTTACATTCATCGAATTATGGAATCTTCAAGAACTGATGTTAGATTATAACGAGATTTATATATTGGCCCAAAGAACTTTCGATGGTTTGTCGCAGTTGAAAAAACTGAGCTTAAGTCATAATAAACTGGTGACGTTAACAGATGGACTATTTGAGGGGGTCAGAGGCTTGTCAGCTTTAGACTTAAGGCATAATAAATTAAAAAGATTCACGATGGATAATTTACGACCCATCTATGACAATTTGAAGATGCAAAAAAGTTTTATATATTTGGAAGGTATGTTGTACGTTATTCGGTTTGTATGTGTTGACTGAAAAATTTAATATAACTATATCATAATATACAATGAGCATTGTAGTGGTGTTTTTGATTAGTACATTTATTATACCATATATCGCAGGTTCGATTCTTGCACAAGCTGACTGCATATTATTAAACAAAATAGAACTAAGATATGAGCAGCTAAGTATACACTTAATAATTATTCTAGTAACATAGTTTGATATTTTTAACATACAATATGAACATATTACAATATATTTTTAAGTAAATTCAGTTAATACATAATTATTTTATAAAAGAAAAGTAAAAAATAAAGTTTAAATTAAATAAAACAATATTTTTACTTCGCTAACACAAAATGTTTCTCTTAAACGTATCTCGTTCCTAAATTATTATGAAACTCAAATAAATTTTCGTATACTTTATTTATAAAAGCTGAAATTAACTTTCTAATTTACATCTCTTGTGCTTAATGAGCGATGTAAATTACTTCGTGTACGTAATATTATTCGCAACTATTTAAAAGACTTTTCTCAGGACTTTAATTTAACAGAAAACCTAATTACTTCGGCGAACAAAAGACTTATTAGTTCAATTAAAGATTAATTAAGGCATCGATTGTTGCAGGGAACGACTTTGATTGCGATTGCCATCTGGTATGGATGCACAAACTCCGACACGAAGCGAAGAGTATCAAAGTGAGAATGTCTTTAGAAAATTTCATTTGCAAATTTAATACAGATCCAGCTTTGAGTTCACATCTAACTTATTACGAAAGAATGAGTACAAATAATAATATAGATGAGATCGATAAACTTAGAAATGATTTGGATGCGCCAGAAGAATTTAGTGACACAGATGACATTTACATCGATGAGCCAAAGAAGATTAAAGCTGAAAATGAGAAAACGCTATTACAAATTCCTGTTGAACTTCTACCTTGTCCTGCTGAAGTTAAAAGTGTCACTGATAGAACTTACACTTATCCATCCCAAAATGAAGCGAAAGATTACAGAAATTTAATTCACACGTCAAATGCATGCCAAGACGTAAATATTTCTGTTTTATTCACGTTTATATTATTAGTAATAGGCTAGATATTTACAAATTGTAAAGAATAAGTTTAACGTATTTTCGATTTTATAATCAAATGTAATTCATCATTTTAGTTGATATAACTAAATAATTTATTCTCATTTCAACGTCTAACGTATTATTATTTTATTAGTTTCTATGATTAATTTCCATACTATTTACACATTAAAAATAACAATTTCATGTATTGTGATGTATTTAAATTTTGACTATTTTCTTTTGAATGGGTAGAAATGTGGTTTTGAAATATAATTAAATTAAAATCTCAATATTGCTTTCGTAAATAATTTTCTAAATCGCAATAAGAAAATATAAACGTTTTATGTATTCAAATAGAATAACGTGTAACAATAATTTTATCAATTGCTATAATACATTTTTACACCCCCATAGAAGTAACTGCTGCTACAGACGTTTAGGTTTGATCTGACCGAATCACGAACTTTATCTCGTTAGACTATATCCGCTTGACAGAGGGATCGGCCAAACCGAAATGAGCAGTTTGGTCACCAAGCTTAGTGAGAAAATAACTTTTGCATTCACATCCAAGTCTAGAGGCGTCATTTGATTAGTATTGCTACAGTAAAATATATTAAAATTAAAAATGATGAAATTTTATTGGAAATATTTTGAAATCGTCTGTTTGTATGTTTATTAAATACAATATTAATAAAAAAATTTTAACTAGCTTGCTTATCTTGACAACGGGTTTAGTCACTTCGAGAAATATAATAGTACATTTAAAACAATTTTTTAAAAAATACTCGAGTCAAGACGACATCTTATAAAAATGTAACAAACTTGACTTTTTCATGTACGAATATATCTATATGGCACTCTACGGCATGTACACTGTATTGTTGACAATATATAAATCAACAAATACATAATACTTTCTTAGATTTACGCGAATATTTGACATTTTAAATAAAACTATCTTTTCGGATTTTGTCGCGGATTTATTTGTATTTTTGTTTCCCGACGTTTCGAATGCTTTACAGCATCCATGGTCACGGGAGAGACTGCAATCAACAAATACACTTTTGCAAATATCATATAATGGTTTTTCTTTATGCTAGATAAGCATATTTTTCAGTTATTATTTGTCAATTTCATGTATTGAGTATAGATTTAAGTTTAGTACCTTTTATAAATAAACAAAACATATATTTACGTGAAAATGAGATCAATGATAATAATTAAAGCTCAAATTATCGCCACGATTTGTTATAATATAAGAGAAGGAGTAAAAACAGCAAACAATTTCAGTGAACTTGGATGACGCTAATAATGAAAATGCTAATCTACAATCGCTAACGCTAATAGAAAGCAAATAGAAGAAATACAAGAAAATAACGCGGTTAGAATATGTGACTCGCATATAGTTTTAAAATTTATTTACCATAAAGGAAATTATAAATATATTTCATTATATATATACAAAAAACGTACACTGAATTATTACTGTACAAGTTATGTCCGCGTGGAATAGTGGCAAGAATGATAGCCACATTGCTCCGCTAAATGACAATGCCGATTCTTCGGGCGAAAAACGAGTCAGCTCTCCTGTCACCAGAGAGCCAATAAGAAGTGTTACATCTTTTAAAAAATATTTAGCACTATAATTTTTAGTTTTCTATTAGCGTTATTGATGTAGAAACATCGATCAAAATAGTACTACGATAGATACAAAATCCCATGCAAAAGTTCTCTTAAAACTCACTAATTGTGTTTAGTTAATTCTAGTTGAAATAAATATACAACAATGTAAATTCAACCTTAAATGCAATGCTGAAAGTCTTTTTTCACAAAAAAATATATTAAAAGCACGCCTAAATGTTCAAATGAGCGCTCTTTCGTTAAGGACATTTTTTGTCGTTGATTGTGTCTCGTACTTTTTTGATCGATGTTAACGGTGTAGAAAGCAGGAGAGGCAATCCTATCTGTCATGCAATTCTGTCAACCACATTATCACGTCAACCGCAGTCGTTATGTTAATATCCACCAAGCGTAATATAAAGAAAATAATTCAATACAATTATATTATTCAATTAATTCAAAATAAATGTAAGTATTGTAAATATAAATAAGAATTTTGTAAAGAAATGTGATATAAATATAAGTGGTTAATGAATATTATGCTTGTTTAGAATTTAATTTTATCTTATTCAAAAATAAGCATTTCTTCGTTATTTTATAAGTATCTCGTTGTTTTAGACATTCTATTTAATTCCATGCCAAAAAAAACGTGCGTGTATGCACGTAAGAAGTTATACTTCTTTGGCGTAATGGAACAAAAATAGCTAAAGATACACAACTCTCTGTTTGTAAAAGGAATGCAGATAACTTCATTATGTTGCTTTTTGGCTGTCGGTGTGTGCGTGCATCGTAAACATTTTACTCTCATATTTTTGTCTAAACGTGCCAAAAGAAGTATAACTTCAAGAAGATATTCAAAAACTGCAGTTTTTGAATGTTAATTGTTCATAATCACTATTTACTTTTTGCATATTATAGAAATTACCTATAGCTTTTATATAAAAATATATATATTATAGTTATATGACATAATATATTGTATGGACACTAATAAGACATCACATATTATATAAATATGTATATTAAATACTAGCGGAGTCGGTAGGCAGAGCTTGTCTTTGTCAGAATTTAAAAATAAACTGGATCTCGACAACAGCGCCAACTACCGGGTCCAACTATAACCGAGGGTCATCCAGGTGACCCCATAAGTACACAAATAACATTAAAACCGGTCAAATCTAGAGGAGAAAAATAACGAACATATGCACACTGGAACTTTATCCATGTACACAACATATAAAGAATACTATTAATAATAATAATCCATACATTTTTTAAATATTACTAAAAATTGCACCAAAATCTCTTTGGATTTTTACCTGGTACTATACATTTTTTTTCTAGCAATAACAGTAAATTTATAACGTGCTTGTTACAATGATATTTCACGAGAATCGAATTTACGACATTGGGCTTAATAATATGCCTACATTTCCATATGTCAGACCGTCATCAAATAATGGATATCAAAAAAAAAGTGTCAGTGTAACAATATGAATAAGAAAGAAACAGCAGAAATCGGCTATTTATATTTGAATGTATAGGCATGAAAATTCTTATTTTATTGTGTTTTATATAATATTATGTTTTAATGTTTAATATAGATTTCTCAGAGATGAGATATTTTCCCACAGTAAAAAGTATTCTATATGTTGACCCGGATGACCAACTATCATCATACCAAATTGAATCCAAATCTGTCCAGTGGTTTTTAGACAGACAGACAGATAAAAATTCTAACTACTCCCATATATTATTAGCAGAACCCGCGGCTACGCCCGCGATCAATCTACAAAAAAAACTCTGGCTTTATGTTATACAGCGAGTCACCCCCGTTTCGCTCGGGTTTGTCGCTATGTATTTATCTAATATTATTCATACAAAATATTAAATTCGGGATTAAAAAATAGGGGTGGGGGTAGGATGGTGAAAAATACTTTACGACCTAAATATACAAACAAAAATCATTAAAATCGGTCAAGCAGTCTCGAAGAAGTGCGACCACAAACACCATCATACGAGATATTATGTACATTTAACTGATGCTTTTAATTTGTCTTATGAAAGTGGCATGGAATTTTAGAATGTCTTTACTGATAAAAACAATATTAAATGTAAATATTTTATTTAATAAATACAATATATTATGTAAATATAGCTAGATATATGTTGATGGAATTTTAAATAGATAGTTATTTTATTTGAAAATTACGTTTGTTTACCTAATAATAAAATATTATAGCATTACAATATTTTTTTATTTCAATATCTTTATGTTTTTTATATTAAACTACAACCCACTCATCACTTTATCCTTGACACAAGAAAATAGTCTATCCTAGTTTATCCCTTAGCAACTTCTTTATCCCAGGATAAAAAAGCTTTAAATACAAATAACCATATTAGTTTAATATGTGTCGAATTTTTTTATAATAAAAAAAGCTTAAAAATAATATTTTATACTGACATGTGTGCTCATAGACAAGTGCAAACTGAATTCCTCTTATATGCTAATTCCGAGATATCAATCGCAGATTTCTAAGGCATGAGGGAGAAGTACCAGCTCCTGAACTCTAAGAAATTCTTTGACAGACAAGCAGCCGGCATTCCCGGGATTCGAACTCAGAACCTCAAGATCCGCAACAGAATATGCTAGACTCCTCATAGCTAGTATGCTCGTAGTTAATATCTGTATTTATCAATGATCGAATGTTTTGCAATTTTTTTGCTAATACTGTGACCATAATATCTATATACAAATATGCAATGACAAAACAGTTCAGTACCTTTTTCTCCTCAGTTTGTCAACAGTTTTTTATTTATGTCATAAACTATAGATTTTTTTTGTGGATGTAGATTTGCGGAATTTGTTCACAATTTCTTGGGTTTTAATTATTTCACGTGGAACGCCGATTCTTTTTCTAAAATAAAACCAGCCACTGAGTTTAAAATTAGCCGGAACAAACAGACAGATAAAAATAAAAAGAACTTATTAGTACTATATACATATAGGTACATTCATATGCATTTAGTAAAAAACTGTTATTTTTACATTACAAACAGACACTTCAATTTTATTTATCTGCATAGATGTGTGAATTCTACTCATTTCTGTATTGTTTCCTCAAATTTTCAATTACGAGTAAGGTCGAATTTCGACCACTAGGTAACACTAGTTATGCAAAATATTCTATACTATATTATTATACCAGCGATACAAAATACCAACCAGAGTTTTATCACAATCGGATCAATGGCTTAGGATAAAAGATAAACAAACGAACGTTCATTTTTATTTATATAGATCAAATAAAATAAATTTATAGCAATAGATAGAATAAAATGTGTAAAATTGTTTAGAATGGCCTTTGAAATTGATTTTGTGACGAATCCCGGATTA